GAGCGGGGGAAGTTCCGCTCGAGCGTGGAATCCGAGCATCCAGTATCTCTGCACTGTTTTACAGTCCGCTCGAGCGGAGGATTGGGAGCTCGAGCGTAGTCATGTGTCTCAAGCTCGAGCGGGCGTCGAGCGTCCATCGAGCGGAGATTTCATTCATCCAGTACTTTTACAGGACGCTCGAGCGGGAAAGTTGACGCTCGAGCGTGTACCTTTGTTGCATGTCCGCTCGAGCGGGTAAACCTGAGCTCGAGCGGGAATCTGTTTTTCTGAAAATTCCGAAACTGTTTTCTGATCACATCTTTGCATCCTCATCCCATTCTAGGCATTCTTAGGCCTAGTTTAAGACATTTAGATGAGGATATCGTTGTAGAACACACCAAGGCAAATTAGGGATTAAGTTATGATATTTCCCAACTGTGTAGCTTAGTGTGTGTTCAACCTGTGAACTGTGTAGGGTTGGCAACTGGGGAGACACGCTCTAGCACACTGTAGCCCGAACACTGTGAGTAACAATTGTGTAAAGATATGTTCAACTGAGAATGTTTTCTGACTGTTTAACGAAACTGATTTCTGAAGTACTTATTGTTAATTGTTGAATGTATGTCCTATATTCCGAAATGTATTGTGGCATCCTTAGCAACTGTTGTATACTGTTACAGAGATCTCTGTCGGTTCCCTCGCGGAACCACTACTGTTTACTGACTTATGGCCATCATTACTGTTTGGTCTTTAAGACCTACTATTTAATGCTATGCTAATGGACGTACCACATATGACTGAATAACTGTTATGACTGAAAGACTGAAGTATTGTTTAATGAACTGTTTTCATTACTGTATGTACCACATATGACTGTTTACTGTACTGAACAACTGAAATACTGATTGAATTGAACTGTTTTCATTACCGTAAGGACATTCATTCTAAACCTCTTTACGCATTATGTTATTCACTGGGCTTTAGCTCACTGTTTATATATATATGTAGGTGCTCAGCCACCAGATCGGAGCTAGGGAGCGTGGGTTAGACTCTAGTTTTGTCAAGCCAGCCTTTGTGCCTCACTGCGAGGTTCCGAGTTGCTATGCTATGGCTTTGGGGTGTTTTGTTTGTTTCCCCCATCTGTCTCCATACTGTTTGGATTACTGTATAGACTGTTAGTTGCTAACTGTACTGTTATCAAGGGATTAGGTCCCTGTACTGTGTGACTGTAAATTTTGTATAGACTGTACTGTTTTGTATATGTGAATGCATAAAAAATCTTTTTGGCATACAGTCTGTCACAGCTCAATGGACATTATTCATTTATCGTATTGGCTTCCGCCAGGCCCTGTACTCTGTTTTACTGTACTACTGTTCTGCAGGCCTTCGGTAATCTCGGATTACTGGCCGGTTACGGTGCTAAGCCCATAGGGCCGGGTTTGGGTCGTGACATTTAAGAGGAACACAGTCAAATTCTATAAAATCATAGGTCTATTTTTTAAACATAAATATAAAATCTGGAAAAAATTGAGCGAAATTCTCAATTCACACAATTTTATCGTGGGAGCTGTTATTTTTATTCTATTTTTCTTCAAATATATATATTTTTTTGTGGTTATTATACATAGTTATTATTCTCATTTCACTTTGTTCTACATACACTCCATTCTATGTATAATAAGTACCAAAAAATGAGTTTATTTAGAGTAAAATGAAATGAAAATCGGTGGTGCTATATGAACCAAATAGTATACTAACTAGTGTACCAACACTAGTTATGATATTATTATTGACCCCACTCACTAATCACATTATAAATTTCAAATACCTCTTAAATTATACCACATCATCAATTGATACATAAGTTAGTATATCAATTGGTACATATAGCATTATTCAATGAAAATAGTTGCTCTCTTTATCGTTATTAATTTCTAAACAAAAATGAATTATTTTGAAATTAACCTTCAAACAAAAAAGATTTTTTATGTATATAAATCCTGTTGCCATCAGGGATGGTGGCCTGATGAAGATTGCACAACATTCCCCAGCACTGAGTCAGGGTCGAAACCTGGGGGGAGGGGAAATCTCTTAGGAGAGCTTGCCCTGTACTCCACTCGACACCTGCCCTTTAGCTGTGGCGTGTAGTTGCGATCCATTGGTGCCTTGATGGTAATTGTGCTCCATTGGTGCCTTGATGGTAGGTCCCTTCCTATAGGTTAGGTTAAATCTGGCCGGCAACCAGTTACCCCGAGGCCAGGGCCCACGGAGGCTATGATGACACCACAGAGCTTCCTTTTTTATAGTTCAAAAAAAATATATATATATATATATATATGGTAGGCGGGCAGGGTAGAAATGGTGGAAAAAATTGACTGAAGATATCACTTATTCACTTTTGACAGGCTGATAGGTAGAGCAGGTTTTGTGTTGCAGTATCCTAGTAGTGGAAAAATAGGATGATGTCAGACTAAAGCTGTTATTATAAAGGAAAATAAGGACAAATGTCTATAAGGGAGAGAGAGTGGATTTAAATGTTTTTGTAATTTAAGTAGCTATTAGCGTTTTCCGTGAGGTATTGGACTTTTTTTGATTTTTTTTTAGATAAAAAAAAAGTATATATATATATATATATATTAAAAAAAAAGATAGAAAAGTGATGTGACGTAAAAATATTAAAAAAATTAAAAAGGTTGTCTTTTAATCCAGTTGACAAAATAAGCCCAATTTCAAACGTATCTGGAACGTCCACGTGGACAATCATCGCCATGTAAGCCGTTGATCTGATTCCCTCATGTTTTCACCTTAAAGTGCCCCCAAAAAACCAAAGAGTACATTTTTGTTCTACTGTTCTAGTTCTCTCTCTGTACTTGACGATCTCCTCCAAGAATTTCTCTTTGCTGTTTAGGTAACCCCCTTTCTCTCTCATCTCAACCTCAATTACAGTTACATATATATATATGTGTGTGTGTGTGTGTGTGTGTGTGTGTGTAACTGAACCCAGAGAAATTTGAATTTTCTCTGGGTTGAATCTAGAGAAATTCTTTGGAAGTCCAGAATTTTCTCTAAACTAATTTTCTCTGGACTAATGGTATTTGAATTTCAATACTACTGCATATATATCACTGCGTCTTCATTTTCTTAATGCATGTGTTCGATTTTAATTCTAATTATTTATTTATTATTATTATTTTGTGTGTAATCCACCAATGCACCACTCTACTGCCCATAGCTGTTTGAAAGAAAATTCAAACAAATCACAAAACTCATATATATATATATATATGGAGAGAGAAGGGGTAGGCATTGAAGACCTTGGAAAGGAGAGGGAGATGCAGAAAGGGTGGTGAGAGAAGCTGAGACTTGAGAGAGAGAGAGAGAGAAGGTGGGTTGTTGCTGATATTGGGGAGGGTGGTGACCAGGGGAAATGACTGACAATATTGCTTTACCTTGAACCACAATGGGTGTAAGTGCAGGCATTTGAAATTTTAGGGTAAATTAAAGTTTCCCGTAAGATATTTATAAGTCATTTGGTGGTTTAAAATTCATTTGACTATGGAGAAGTAATTCCAAGTTGTATTGGTGCGTGTAAAATGTATTTACCATTAAATAAAACAAAAAATTTAATGCTTTCACTTTGCCCTGAACTACCAAGGGTGTAAGTGTAGGTTTTTGAAGTTTAGGGATGTATGGAATTTTGGGGCAAAGTATAGGGGGGAAATGAATTTTTCCATGTTATCTATCTCTTCTATGTGGAAAAAATACCGGAAAGAAACCCATCATTTTTCGCATCAAACTTTGATCATAGGACTCTTTCTCTCATCCCTCCTACTAGGACCCATCCCAAATCCTATGCAAAAAAAACCATTTTTTTTCCACACCATATACTTAAAATCCTTCTCCCTCTCTGTCTCTCTACATATATATTATATATATAGACATAGAACACTCCCAAATGCAAAATCATCGAGCAACAACTCCCCAACATCAAAAAATCAAATCCATAGCAAGAGGTGACGTGCAGCACCGTCAGATCATTGATATCCCAGAAACTCGCATCTGTGTTGGAGTCCAAGAACTCCTTGATCCTCTCCAAGTCACCCTCATTCGCCAAATCCATGAGCCTCATCCTCGGATCATTCTCCCACTTCTCAGTACTCACTGACTGGCTGTTAATGGATTTTTGTTTCTTTTTTAATTTTTTTTACTAGTGGGCCAATGTTAGAGCAAGGGACGCAAAAGATTGTTGTGTGACCAACCAAAATATCTTCATTAATGATTGTAAGTTGTAACTAAGGTGAGGGATGTATTGTTGAATTTGTGAAAAGATCATAGCTAGGATAAATTATGTCATGTTTGAGAAAATTTCTGAATGGCACCAGTAGATGATAATAACTTGAAAACCAATGAGATGGTTCATATTGACTGAGGTGGTGATGGTAGGCGGGCAGGGCAGAAATGGTGGAAAAAATTGACTGAAGATATCACTTATTCACTTTTGACAGGCTGATAGGTAGAGCAGGTTTTGTGTTGCAGTATCCTAGTAGTGGAAAAACAGGATGATGTCAGACTAAAGCTGTTATTATAAAGGAAAATAAGGACAAATGTCTATAAGGGAGAGAGAGTGGATTTAAATGTTTTTGTAATTTAAGTAGCTATTAGCGTTTTCCGTGAGGTATTGTTCTCAATGTCTTTAGCTTATGTTCCTTATGGTGCAACAATATTCTTTTTTTCATTCAGTTCAGCAAAAAAAAGTTTCTTGTTTTGCCTTAGCTGTATCCTCTCTACGTTTTACAGCTTTGACTTCTAATTTTTTTCCCTATCCCTTTTTCTCCTTTTGGGACAATATTCTGCTTTCAGTTCATTTAAGTGGTGCAGTGGCATTTTCTTCACCACCACAGTTTTGTGCGTATGGAAAAAGTAAGTGACAAAAAATTCAAAGACAAGGGGAAGACTGTAAGCTGGCCTGATGCCAACAAAAAGATAAAGAAGAAGAAGAAGGTTTCAAAGGTTAATGCAATTAATGCGGTTCCTCCTGCTCCTGCAACTAATGCGGTTCCTCCTGCTCCTGCAACTAATGCTGTCCCTCCTGCTCCTGTCACTCTGTCTTACCCTCCTCAAGCCCTTGCTTGTGCTCCTGTCACTAATGGCAGTGGAGCTGTATCGTGGGGAAAAGAGAAGACCGAGGACAAATTAGAGCAATTTTGTGGTTTTATATTTATGTGTAATGCACAGACAAAACCAGAGTGCTTCCGATACCGTGTTTTTGGGCTTCCTGGAGGAAGGAGGCAAGTTGTAGAGAAGATCAAGGAAGGAGTGACACTTTTTCTGTTTGATTTTGACCTGAAGCTTCTCTATGGTGTGTACAAGGCTACCTGTCGTGGACGACTGAACTTGGAATCTTCTGCTTTTGGAGGAAGATTTCCTGCACAGGTAATTCCTGTATTTCTGTTATCTTCATCCCAACGCTTGATAGCTCTTGTTTAAGATTCAAAGCTAGGGAAAAAGCAATAAAATCCAGGTGGAATGCTCCCTTGTTTAAGTTTGAGGCTCTTTGATGTTGTATAGTGCTGATTCCCTCTGTCACATCTACCATTTAATTTCTCTCAGAACAGGCATTGAATTTTGTTCCTGAAAGGACAGACTTCTATGCCAAACCTATTCCAATCCTTTTGTGACAGTGCCTTGCTTCCATTTGATTATTTTTCTGAGGAAAATGCTATGCAAATTAATAAATCTTTCAAACTCTTTTAACTAATTGATGTGTCATGTAATAATGAAATTTCGAAAATTGAAATAGAACCCACTTCAATGATATGATAGGTGCCAGATCAGTACGTAAGAAAAGTTTGTTAAATTTGTTAGTTTGTATAGCATTACTCTTGTCTAAATCTGTTGTCATGCATATTGTCTTATCCTTTCACAATCAGTACCAAGCCAGAAGGTTGATTAGGCACTGATTGGTGGCATTAAACATTTGTCAGACCCTCATGGAGATGAATCGTGAAAATATGAAATATTGTCCTTTTCATAAGCTTCTGCTATGTTTCTAATCTATGTTTGAGATCTTAAACGTTTTTAATCACTATTTTTTTGGTTGATAAAGTCATCGTTATATGATATAATGACCTGTCAATGTATTCATGCTGCCAGCCACATTCGTATAGTAGGAAAGATGTATTAATTTTTTTTCTTTACAAAATGTATATGTGGGTTTTATAAAGTCATGTCAACCAGATATTACCTACCATTCATACATATTCTTTAATTATTACAAGCAAACATAATATCTAACTTTAAGCACACACATGACAAGTCGTCCCAATTTTTTAATGATGAGGAAGGTATATGGAAATAACCTATATTACATGGACTTAGCACTATTAGGGGGAATACTGGTGTTGAACATGGTACTGACACAGTTGCGGGATCTGTGTCGGACATGGCACCTACTTCGTTGGACAAGTCTCGTTTGTGGGGAGGATGGGATGAAAAGGGTCTACCTAGAATCTTTTGTCAATCACGAAGCCATAAGCACAATCTTCTCAGCATTGCTACTTCGATGTCTTTGTTGGAGTAGTTGTGAAGTCTTCAACCATGATCCACCCAGGGTTTTTGTGAAGATGAAGCAGTTGTGAAGTGAAGGGTTATTAATTGTGAAGAAAAACAAAAAGTTCTTTGAGAGAGACAGAGAGATGAGCTGGCAACCATAATACGGTTTACCAATATCAGGAGGACACAAAAATCTCATATAGAGGGGACCAAACTATATAAAATTAAAAATTGACTATACATTTATTTTATTACATTTTTACTGAAGTTTCATACGTATGATGTGTTAAAATATTCATTTTATAAGCATAAAAATTAAACATTATCATCAAATTTGCAAATAAAATTTTCAATCAATATCTAATAGTAATTAACAAAACAAAAAGTATTAAAATTGGATTATAAAGTACTTTTACAATTATACAAAATAAAAAGATTAAAAAATAATAAATACAAATCATGGTTGTCAAAATCGCGATCTGGATCGTAGGATCGTACGATCCTACGATTCTACTTTGCCAAAACGATCCAGATCGTTGTAGGATCGATGTTATAACAGGATCGCAAGTAGGATCGTGTAGGATCGCATGGGATCGTGTAGGATCGTATGGGATCGTATAAGATCGTAGGTAGGATCGCAAGTAGGATCGTAGATTTTATAATTTTTCACCTTATTTTTAATTTGTATCATTTTAATTTTAATTTTTATCTTTTTTTTTAATAGAAAGTAGGATCTTACGATTCTCGATCCGATCCTACGATCCGATCCACCAGACCATCTCACCGATCCTACTTAGGATCCCGATTTTAACAACCTTGATACAAATAATGTTTGCACATTTGTCATGGACATGTAAAGTCATAACTAACACTAATTTGAGCCATAATTGAAGACTACTTTAGTGGTAACAAAAAACCACAATGGATTGTAACTAATACCACTTCTAGATATAATGAAACATCATAATAAGACGTAACTAATTTGATTTAATAATTTGTTGGTCTCACCACCACAATGATTTGTAACTAACATCAATTTAGATTATAATTTACATACTATATATACATATATATTGTAGGATAACCCTAATTAAAGACTTGAAACAATTTAAAATTTTGAATAAAAAAAAAGAAAAGGAAAGCCTGAACTTGCGAGGGCTAACTCTTCACAAATTATAGACTAAAGGGTAAATACATAATATTAACTAAACTTTTGAAATAGTTTGCAGGGGCAATGGCCCCCCTTGCGTTCACCATTGCATATAAACCGTTGTATATATATATATATATAGAGAGAGAGAGAGAGAGAGAGATAGTGGCATTGGAATATGGGCTTGAGTTGGGAATCATATTTGAGTGTACCTAAATGGTTGGACTCAAACCTAGGTGGGAGATAGTTGGGAACTATTTTTATTAATTGATGAGTGCTGCTATTAGCACCTACCAAAATTCTTTGGATCCCCAATTTCTTTAAACCCCAACCCTAAACCCTAAATTTTAATAATATTTTTTTGGACACTCCACTTATTACCAAATCTACCTATATTCATAATATTTTCACAATGAAATGCACATCCACCTAATTTTTCATCTCTCTCCTTCCCCGACTTACTCAATCTTCAGAGTTTGGAGCTTTGGTCCAGTATAGAATTCTTGGACCCCAACCCTCTATTACTCTTGTCGCCGTCTCGGCCGTCAACGGAGCATTCCGCCAACTCTCATCTTCTCTGAACGCTCTCCGTATCGCCGAATCAGTAACCTCTCTCATCCTCTCATCATCATCTTCTTCGTCGCTTTTTGTATCTTCGTCATCGCTGAAATCGATCGAAGATACTCCAATTTCTACGGGATTTGCATAACCATTTGCAAGATGAGGAAAAACAGAATCATCGTCTGAATCGCCATCAGAATCGTCATCTGAATCGCCATCAGAATTCTGAATATAGCCCAAAACAATTTGTTCATCACTGTGTAGCCGAAAGAATGTATTTTGTTCAGAACTGTTTTGTCGAACAATAATGATCATGTCAGTACTGTATGTCCGAACAAAATTTGTTCATCATTGTGTAACTTGAATCCATTCCAATTCACAACTTAAAATAACATGAATTAAATCCATTCAAAATACGTAACTTAAATCCATTCCAATTCACTATTTTCCATTCTAAGTTAGTTTAACAAAGAAAATTACATAACTGACTATCTGCATTAATGTTCGGAACCTATGTATTGAACGAAAGGATTATGTTCAATACTGTATTACCGAACATAATTCTAACAGTCAGCAAACCAGTACTGAACAGCTCGAACGAAATAAGAACGATCGAAAACGACTGAGAATGTTAATACAAGACAGATAAACTTACCAATGGAACGCCGGTCTCACTAGAATTGTTGTCCTCGTCCTCCATTACTCTACACAGTGAAATAAGTGATGAAGTATTCGTTATACTTGAAGCAAAACTTTCAAGTTCAATAGCGTTGATGATGGTGATGAAGATGACACATTCAGAATTTAAGATGATTATGAAAAATAATAAATTTAGGGTTTATGTTAGTTGGTTATGCAAAGTAATAGGTTTAAAGTTTACAAACATTGAATACATATAGTTGGAGTTAGAGTTAGAGTTGGAGGTGGGGGTGGTGGTGGGGGCGGGTGTCCAATATTATAGAATATTAGTTCTTATTAATAGGTAGGTGTTTCATTTAATAATGTCTTTTAATGTAATTTTACTTTAGGGTAAAATTGTAATAAAAAAAAATTATAAAATGAGGGGTCCAAAGAATTTTGGTAGGTGCTAATAGCAGCACTCTTAATTGATATATTAACATCATGTTAATAAATTGCTACTTAATAATAATTATTTATCAAAAAAAGAAAAAAAAAAATAGCAACTTAATAATAATTAATTGATTAATTATGTGAAGGACACATTTAATATGCCATATCCCCATATCCATATCCGACTTTTTATCTGAGTCTATGAATCCTATAATCAGGAAACCAAGTGAATCCAACTGCTAGACATGTGTCCATATCTAACAGCACTATCGAATCTGTGCAACATAGGAAATAACTAAGCAGCCAAGGAATTGTGCCCAATGGGGGAGGCAGGTGAGTAGGCCAATGTTTACAAATTAATGCCAATACGACAATTACCAAGTGATTAATTGATTAATTGAGTAGGCCAACTTTTGTATAAGGACTTCTTGTCTAAAAAGCATGGACACGTGACACGACAACAATACACGCTGACACGTTAATTTTCAAAAAAATGCAAGACACGACACGTGGGGGACACACATGAAATATATAATTTTATATATTTATTATATATTATATATATGAATATATCATTCAAAGATAATAAAAAATGCAATATAACACTAATTCCTATAATTTATATGGTTTTTGTTTTATTATTGTATCTTAAGTTGTTTTGTTCAAACTTATAATTAGTTTCACATATGTCTAATCCATAGACACGTGTGATTAAGCGATTGACGCGTATGTCCTCCAAGTGTCCAAAGAGTGTCCGGATCTTTAAAAAAATTTAAAAAATAAGACACGTTTTGAAGAGTGTCGGACACGTGTCCTAAGAGCGTTCAAAGAGTGTCGGTGTCTGACACGGACACGACGCGGATACGTCACCTTCTTAGAAGTATCTGTGCTTCTTAGCTTCTTGTCCTCTTTCACTTTTCTGTTTTATTAAAATTTTGTTGATGCTCAAAAAAATTTTTTTTTTTGATTTCACACTAATTCAAAATACAATTAATTAATCTAAATTTTAGCAATTAATGAATCCAATGCACCAACCTAATCAATAGAGAACAATTAACCACAAGACAACCATGATCCAATCCCAACACCCACAATCTATCCACTATCAAATCAAGTGGTTACAAAGACACAATTGAAGGAAATTGCAACTTCTTGTCCAAGTTTACCAACTCATTGAGTTCACCACAAGCTTGATCTTTGCTTCAAAACGGCCGTGACACCTGAAGCATCAAAGATTTGACGGTCGCCACGAAACTTTTTGCTCCAATCTCCATCTTCTATGAAGCATGGGTACTTTGAAAAACTTGTCGTACCCGTACTTTATCGGTGTATGGTATTTCATATGGTATTTCTGCATATGTACTGGATATACAAAACATGTACCTAAATTTTTGCTTCTTAATTTTTGACATACCTAGACGTACCTAGTATATACCTAAACTGCATTGTACCTCAATCAAAATAATATTTCTTCTACTACAGAGATAAAATTCATTTCACTAGACTTCTTTTTTATTTTTAGTTTTATGCTTAACATGATTTTAAAATTAAGTTATGATTTGTAAGTTATTTAATATAATGACATTTAATTTTGATTTATACCTTTACTTTTGAATTTAAATGTTAATTGTAGGTTGGATTTTAACAAATTAAACCATTTAATCAATTTTTGCATTTCTCCAAATTAAAAATAAATATTTTTTTTATAAACGTACCAAGCCGTATCCGTATCTTATTTTTTTTGGATTTTATCATATTGATGTACCCGTATTCTACTGTACATGTGCTTCATGTCCGTCTTTAGGCCAAGTTTGGCATGATTGAAAAAAGACAAAAAGTCAAAAAGTCACTATCCTATTTAAGTCACATCATCTTATTTAAGGCCTCGTTTGGCAAGAGGCTATTTTAGCCAATTAGCCAAAAAGTTACTAAATTAGCCAAAAAGCCAACAACCCATACCAAAAAGTCAAAGATTCTCTTTTCTCTCTACTTTTTGCACATCTTTTCGTAATTAGCTAAAAAGTCATCCCAAACATACAAGTTTTTTTTATCTACCTTTTTAGCCAAATAGCCAAAAAGTTACTAAATTAGCCTGTTCCCAAACGAGGCCTAAGTCACATCACCTATCTAACACATCACTTCAAATCCAACCCAAACTCAACTCATATTTTATAAAAAGTCAAAAAGTGCACTTATTTAGTCTTCCCAAACTAGGCCTTAATGGCTCTGGTACCAAACGACCATGGTCTTACAAGGATAAAAAATGAATTGTGAAGGTTTAGATGTGATTCAATCTAGGTGAATTGAAGGATTTCAAATCATGCGTCAAAACTCTAGATTGAAGATGGAGTGAGATTTATCAATGGATTGTTGCTGAACAAGTCATGAAGCAACTATAGAGAGAGAGAATGAATCTAAAGCCTCAATAACCATCATTTACATGCATGCCGACAATGCTGAAAATATGAGTAGTTAAACGATCAAGGGTAGAATGGTCATAAAATAGGCATCAGCATGCACTGCCAGCGCTCGAGCACTAAGTGAGTAGGTCTTGTAGGAATTAGGTGCTCTAGTGACTAGCACTAAACAACTGGGCCTCTTAGGGATTCAAGTTCTCTAGTGCTAAGTGAGTCGGCCTATCAGCAAGCTAGGTGCTTTAGCTCTAAACAAGCACTAGGAGAGCTCTAAGCAAGCATGCTAAAAAAACTTTGAAAAAACATGTTGAAGTAACCTATGAAACTCAAATAATCAAGGTTCTAAGATGGGCTAGTGCTAGTAACTGAACCAAAGACTGAATCTTTTGCTAAAGATCTTTCATTTGGTGAACTCAATCACACTATATCAACAAAAAATCCTACTTATCCACAGCCCCAAAATTACAGATTTGGGGATTTTGTTTATCGGAAGTAGCCAACCTAGCTAATGCTCTCATAACAGTATCACCTTTGAACTAGGGTATAGCTGTAAGGTGACTTGCCTCCCTAACTGCATGACAGGACAGGTCTGCAACTGGCATAAAATAAATAAGCCAAAAAGGCTTGCCAAGGTGCTTGTGAAAAGAGTGAGCGAACCTCCCTTGGATAGGTAATGTCTTTTTCCATCCGGCATACTTCCTTTGGAACCATTCTACATCCTCATCTCACACTGCCTTGGACTTAAAAGGAAGATCCCAGAGTGAAATCAAGGTAAATGATTGAAAGGGTGTCTTTTCAACATCCAATGATGGAGGCTAACTCATCAACATGCTCAATTTAGCTAGTTCTTCATGTCTTACTGTCTTGAAAGTGAATAGTATTTAAAATAGAGAGAGAAGGGCTTTGGAAACTTACTTTGCAGGGATTGCAGGCTATGAAAGTTATTGAATTGCATGAATCATTACTGAACTGCAAAGTTGTGCGGTTCCGTATAATTCCCATAGATTCATTAAAATTCGTAGAAGATTTGAAATAGTAATTTGTATTGTTGACTTGAATCGTTTTATAAGATTTAAATTGCAAATTGGAGATCCACCATGCTTGTAACAGTGCCTTGCGTGATTTGTTTTTAGCTTAAAGCGTTTCTAGTTAATGTTACAAGGATACAATTTCACTACTTGATTCTTTGTTGATACTTTCTTTTTTTTTTTGGTTGGGTGGGTACTTTGTTGATACTTCATTGCACACAATAATATTATGGATTCATCATTATCACTTTAGCAAAACTGGTTGGACTAGTAGAGAAATTTTCCGTGTGCCTAACGTTTTGAGGGTGCTGCTACATTTTGTTCAGGTGAGGTTTGTAAATGATAAGGATTGTCTTCCTCTGCCGGAGAGAGTTTTCAAAGGTGCTATAAAGGATAATTATGAGGGCTCCAAATTTAAACCAGAACTCAATGACCAGCAGGTATGTTCAGTTTCATTTTCTTTGATGGCTGGGTCATGTCACATTACTTTTTTCTTTAGGGTTAATTTCAGTTTTATCTTTTAAATTATCGTCATTTTTTCTGTTTTATCCTTTTAAGTTATTAATTTAATCTATTTAATCAGTAAGGTTTTTTTATTTCAACTAACATGATCCAATTAGGGACAGTTGTCCAAATTAGTAACTGTTAAAACCTAATTGATGGGCAAAAATGTCATTTCAAAATTTTAACAACCTAAATGCAACCAAACACTCATTTTTTCTGTTCACTATTTTGAAATGAGAGGTGGAGAAGAAGATGGTAATTTGGTTGTAGGGGGTAAGTTAAGTAAAATAGTGTTGAGTAAGAAGATGGGTAGTTGGGTATATGATTAAGGTTGTCCATATTGTAAAATTACCTTTTTGCCCATTGGGTTAAGTTTTTACCATTACTGGTTTGGATGGACTGTCTTCAATTTGACCATATGAACTGAAATCAGGAACTTTATGGACTAAATAAATGAAATTGATAGTTTAGGGATGAAGTGGAAAACATGACAATAGTTTAGGGGATAAAAGTGAAATTAACCTGTTTCTTTAATTTTATTATAAATTTTCTATTAAAATGCAGGTGAGGGATCTGTTATTATTGTTTCGTCCATGTGTTGCATCATCATCAGCTGTGGCTCCAATGCCAGCACTAGTCCCACCACAAATGATGCAGCCTTCAGCTTTGGAGGATCAATTCCAGCACTCAACGAGATTGCTGCGTCCTCCACAGGATCCATATCTAGTCGGAATGCAACATGGTCGTGCAGCACCAATGATTGAACTTCCTCCTCCACAGGATCCATATCTAGTCGGAATGCAAAACGGTTGTGCAGCACCGATGAGTAAACAACATTCTGTGCAACACAGTGTCGTATTGACCTCACAGCTGTATGGAACTGAGGCAACCATAGACCATGTCTATCCAACTTTGGAGCATCAAGTTCCGCCAGCTCCAAATGAACCATATTATTTTGCAGAAAATCAACGGCTGTATGCTGCTGAAGATGCTGCCCAGACTGTTCAGGACCATTATCCCAGGTAATTTGTTTCTGGATTTTGGGGGACAACACTCATTTGTTATCTTGTGGCTCCAAAGCTACTATTTTGTTTGGTTCATGCAAAAACATCATTCATATGTCTACTACCTAACAGTACGTTTAGGTGAGAAAAGAAAAGAAATGACTTTGGTTTCTCATGTTGGTGAGAAACAAAATGGATAAGATTGGGTAAGAAAACAAAGCACTTGAGAGAATAGTATGAATGGGATTCTTTTTCTTTCTTTGTATTTTAATGGGCAATCTTGGTATTATGAAAATTATATAACCAATTAGTTTGTTTCTTACCAAATCCCACCACTCTTGGTGAGAAATGAAATAGGCAAAATAAGAGAGTTCTCTTTCTCACAATTTTCACTTAATTTTTAAACCAAACATGAGAAAAAGTTCTCTTTCTCTTCATTTATTATCATTTCTCACCAAATCACCCCATCCAAACAGACTGTAAGAGGGAGGGGTGCCAGGAGTTCGACTCTTGACTTGGTGAACTGACCTTAAAGCCCCTATCACTGAGGGCAAATGTCAGGTTCAGCTCCTAAGCTACTTACAAGGGGAAGTTAAGGGAAATCATGGAACCTAAGATGCATTCTTGTTCAATGATTTATATCAAGTTGAGAAAACACCATTTGGTTTCTTGGTTAACCTAAAACCCAATTGTGTTGTTTGGATGACACATCAATTGTTTTCAGATGATGTTTTTCTCTCTTGTATTTTTCATTTCTTTGGGAAGGTTTAGTAAAAATCGTTAGAGCAAAACAAGATTAGCTAAGCGACTTTTAGTTTGAATTTTGAAACATTTTGAACTTTTTATTGCTTTCCATGCAATATGCAGCCATTATTTGCTTCTAGAAGGTTGAAAAGTACTTTGACAATGTCATGAAGTTACTTAATTCATTTTTTTACCATATAGAGAATTTTGAGAACCACCGAGCTCTATTCTGACTGAAGGTTGTGGGTGATTAGCATTTGGTATCAGGGGATGATTTTTTCACACTAACACCATCAATAAAAAAAAATCATTATCTGTTAGCACACTTTGTTGGAATGTGTCTCACATCGCCTGGAGTTGCCCATTTGTGCTGATTATAAGGCTCCAGTTTCCCTCTCTTTAATACCGGGGTTTTAAGGAGAAGTGTGGGATGAGCTTTTCAATTTGGTTACTGTATCAGAGCTTGGTTGGGCCTATGATTGGTGTGCCGTTTGTCTGGCTATTGTATGTTGTGGTCTAGGAGGGTGTGTTGGAATGTGTCCCACATTGCCTGGAGTTGCCCCATCTATGCTGGTTATAAGACTCCAGTTTTCCTCTTCTTAATACTTAGGTTTTAAGGAGAAGTGTGGACTGGACTTTTTAATTTGTTGGAATGTGTCCCATATCGCCAGGAGTTGCCCCATCTGTGCTGTTTATAAGGCTCTAGTTTCTCTCTTCTTAATACTTGGGTTTTAAGGAGAAATGTGGATTAGACTTTTCAATTTGGTATCAGAGCTTGGTTGGGCCTATGATTGGTGTGTTGTTTGTCCGACTGTATGTTGCTTGGAGTTGCCTCATCTATGCTAGTTATCTCCTTAATACCTAGAAGAAGTGTGAGCGGGGCTTTTCAATTACTTTAGTCAAGTATGCAAAGCAAGACATGCATTAAACACACACACAAGAAAAATGGGACAATTGCAAAAAAATGGTACCTACAAAAAAAAAATAATAATAATCATAAAAAAAAAAGAATTGCAATTTGATGGAGAATCTAAAATAATGTCACTAGAAATGATAACTTGCAAAATAATTGTACTTGGGTGGGAATATTTTATAAAATGATGAATTTACCCTCCCTTTTTTCTCTCCTTTCTTCTCTATGAAGCTTTCGCCACCCTGCTGGCACATCCTCCCCGACAATGGTGGCACCGTAGCTAGTGCCCCCCACCCGCTCTAGCGGTGGCCGGAGAGGGTGGCAATGGGTTGCTGCCTTCATTGCCTAGGAGGATATGCTTGTGTAGTGGAAGTTTTAGAGAGGAAGGGAAGAGAGGGTAAATTTGTAATTTTAAAAAATATTCCCATGTTATTGCAATTATTTTGCAAGTTCCATTTCTAGTGTAATTAGTTTACATTCTCCATTGAAATTGCTAAAAAAAAATTGGTCTGGTTTCAATTTTTCTGCAATTGTCCCAAGAAAAAAAATCCTTATTTAGCTAAATTTAGTCAGTCAAAGATGGACTTTTCCTAGATTTTCAGACAGTCTCCTCCATGAAATGCATATTTCTCTATGCTTTTAACTACATGGAATGAAACCAAAACCAATCATGATCCCCTTGAATTGCTGCTATCACAGGTCTTGGGCTGCACAGAAGATGGACCATCGTGAACGACTCGTTGGCTTGGAGAGAGAATATCATCAACTTCCCTTGCAGAGGGAAGGGCAATTTGATCTGCAACAGAGCAATGTTGCTGGATACTACAACTCTTACCCAACCCCTCCAACATCTCATGGTCCACCACTTATGCATCCACATGACCCAGTGCCTGGGAGACCTGGGCTGGCTGAGAGGGATGGTCCTGTTTCTTCCTATTATTCCTTTGTAGGGGCCACACGGTTGCATCGTTGATCCCTAGCAGACAAGAGAAGACGGGACTCTTAAATGTGATGGAAACGTCAGCATTGCTTTGTTTGGCGGATGTACATTAGAACATCTTTGTAGCCTCCTGCTCCATTGTGCCTGTAAGATGTCAATTTGTTCTAAACCATCAAGCAACATTTTTTAGGACAATTTTCTGACTTGTAGAATATAACTATCTAATTATAGATTTTAGAAGTTCAATTTGGTGGATGATTTTGAGACTGGAACAAAATTTCTAGTTGATTGTAAAGTTTTCAGGGAAATTAGAAATGTGGTAACCCACGTTGGGCGGGTGTTGAGTCTCACCTTGGAAGTCTATATGGGGATCTTGTTGTATAAGCAAGAGTAATGAACACAAATAAAAGTGAGAAGCCAAGGTTTGGTGGATGTGGGGAAATGATGTTGAGGGCTTGTTTGAAAAGTGATTTTTTTTTTAATTTTTGGTTAAAATATGAGGTGAAAGTGTTTGAGAATGATTTTTAAATATTTTACGAAAAAAAAAGTAAAAATTAGAGAGAAGTGAATGAATCTAATATCTTTTTATATGACTTTTTAATATTTTTAGTAATTTTTTTGGGCTAGAGCACCATCTTTTCAATGAAGCCCTGAATGTGGTTGGCAAAAGGAGATGATGGTTGGCAGTGGCGATTGTGACAATTTGTAGTGGTTTTAAATCTAAAGGTATAATATAATTTTTCAAAATTTGAAGGAGTTAAATTATATATATATAATCCAAGGGGATGTGGTAACTTGGTAAGGTCTTGAGATATAAGTTTTGTGGTCTCAAGTTTTATTCTATTCGGGGCTAGTCACTCGGATACATATGGTTCGTAGGGTGAACTTTATCTAGTGTTAGGAGTGTAAGTTCGAATTCCCACTTATGTGCGAACTTGGTTCTACGATGTAGCACCACCTAAGGGTGATCTATGGGGTCTCAACTCTTTAGGGTTTAGCCCCAAAAGTCACTCCTATGTGTTTATGTCTTTTAAATATATATGTTTTTATAAATCTTAAAAATGTATTTATATTTGGGAAATAACAACAAAAAAAAAATGGAAAGTATAACAAATAATTATAAATTCATGAAAGTACAGCACTTATTTGCACAATTTAATACATAAATCACTTGTACTTTCATGAGTTTATAATTATTTTTTTCAATTTCTCACTTTTTTATATTTTTCCTTTATATTTTACAAAAAGCAACCAAAGTATAAAAATAAAAGGAAAGGGATAGGGCCAAACTTTTTTTTTTCTTTGGCAATAGTGGAAAATTCATTGATAGAGATAAAGATTACAAGAGATTAAGCATTCATACTGTAAATCAAAGTATAAACGCAGCGGATGAAAAATTATGATCATACCTTTTTCTGCAGAGTCTGAATTGAATGATCTCGTGGGTAAATTACGTGCTTCGTGAATCTAATCAATCAACCCAGCAATGGAGTGATATTACAGAATGAATATCACCCACACAAGTCACAGTGCAAAATGGCTCTTGATCGTTGTATTTTGGGAGAGAGTCAGTATATGGGTAAAACATACGACATACGTTATTTTTCTCTTAATCACCCATATTCCATATCATATCAGATATATAGGATAATATCTCATCTATCCATATCAGTTGATATGATAGATATGGATATCCTGAGTGATTATCCAAGTAAGTTTTGAATTCAAATTCAAACTTACATGGATAAGGTTCAAAGGGTCATGCCACATAGGCGCCTAATTTCTAACATCTCTCACTCGGACATGAGTTGGCATGACACTGCCACATCTCTATCTCAATCTCCCCAAAAATGAATAATCTCATACTAGCCACTGCACCGTGCGACTGCTGAGAACACTTGTATGTAGGAGCTCTATACTAGAAACTCAAAATGAGCTAGCATAGAGACATCAACCCAAAAAGAACAGAAATAGTGTCTCATATACCCCAGACCCATCTAATTACACCGGTCCAAAAAACATCTCTAATCCCTCAAAAAGAGCATGTTTGACCCTCTCAATTCTTGCAGTATATTCACACTCAATCCGCCTCTCATACAGAGCGATGTGAGTTGCCGGCAGTGAATATACAACAGTGGCGTAAGACTAGATGATCTTCCCTTTGCCCTCATGCCATTTAGTTTAGGATTGACCGCTTTCCCAGTGATGTCCCTTAAGGCCGAATCATACGTGACCGCAAGCAACATACCAAAGTAGCAGAACATCAATCCCTTACCTTATGACATAGTCAAAAGTCACAAAAGGGTACATAAACGAAAGTCATATCAATAATGACACGTAAGACTCACACGGTGAGGAAACAGGGATCCATTCTCTCACCTCATTACTCGGTCGCTAAGCACATATAGTATGAATACATGCTACGGTGGAATAACTCTTCCATAAAGAGTGACGTTATACTCGATACACCGTACATATATTAGTCTAGTCGCTTTCTAGCGCCTAACCCGAATTCTCTATTTGCTCGCCTTCCAGGATCCCATGTTTGGTCTTTAACACGACCTCATCTTGGTTGCAACCAAGGCGATACACATAGTGGATAATTTAAGCCTCTTTTGGCTCCAAATAAAATAAACGACTAGTCTTATTCTTGGTCGCTTCTAAGCGTCAAGGGCGATTGCTGGTGTAAGTGAGTCAATCTTTCCTATTGATATCATCATTTGGTAATTATTACGACACAAACCATAATAGCATCAATATCCCACAATCTCACCAAAAAAAAAAGTAATCGATTGAAAAAACACAATCACAGTCTGCTCAATTCTAAATTCTAAACATAAGCTCTATCAGCCCCTCTTGCGATAAGCATACACAATAGAATTCACCATGTGCACTGCACATGAAGTGGTTCAAGATCACTACTTCTTGTGCAATTACCTCTCTAAATATATTTTGGTGACCAATTTGCTTTCATTCAAGATGCACCCAACAAGCGCATTGAATCTTACAAAGGGCAAATTTATACACTACCAGTAAAGCATCATATCCATAGTCTATTGAGCAAGGTTAAGGTCTAAACTACTCGGCTGACCATTTACAAAAGATAGCACTCATCATGCCAAATATGCCCACATAGCGTACTTCAGGATCCCACAACAAAAGATCAAGGAATGTGGGTCATCTGTTTCTCCCAAAGGCAATTAGAGGATTTATTCAATAGCAAAGGCTCTAGCTTTTACCGATAGGTAATTCAATGGGTTTGCAATTTCGCATCTAGAATCATTCTAGAATATTCCTTATGTAAGTTTCATAGACAAATCGAGAATTTTTCCAGAACAATCTCTAAGGATCGTACATTCGAGCATATAAATTACATCACCCATGTCCATCATGTTAAAAATAGAGGACTGTTAACCCTAGGTGGTGACAACCTTATAAATTCCTGGCTCATAATAACTAAGTAAGGAAAAAATTCTTTTGGACCATTGATCATGCCTCAGTGGTCTTTATCGATCATTGTTGGCCTATCATGGTTCAACGAAATCTAAGAACCACTATTTGGATAACTGTTTTAAGCCGTAAAAGATTTATTGGAACTAGCAATCTTTTTGTGCTCCTAACTTTTCACTATAAAAGCAGAAAGTAAATCTCTACGGATCTACTTATCTAATTCTCTAGCGAAAAGTTGGGTCACAACGTCGATAAATCAAAGTTCCAAACTCATGTCAATCATAGCCTAAGTCGAAGTAACTTCACTCCCTAAGAGAAAGTCTTCTCATGGTCTACACCTTTCTCAGTGGTGCGACTTTTCGGTATCTAGCGAGTCTTATGCCTGAAAAAATGACTATACAAATCGCACATAACTTTAGAATAGTTTTGTGTCATAGCAGAAAGTCAACTAAATCTTAGAAATGGTTAATCCTCAAAAACTTTGTCTTAGAATGCGCAACTTTGATCCACTTTCCAAAAATTGGGGACTAGAGAGCCTTTGGCATTATCGTAGGTTCTTTAGTATCTTGCGGAGCAATCATGAAAGTTTCCTTCTTAATCACCCAGTGATGACGTGGAAAATTTTCACATTCGCTACCACGCAACTAAGAATGTAGAGTATTCTTCTCTAATGGAGTAATCCACTAGTAGGCACATTGTTCCCACTATCCCTAGGATATTGGAAATTTCTTTCCATTCTTAACTAGGATGCATAAAACGCCATACTTAGCATTTTCTATCTTATAGAGTTCCAAAACTCTATTCACGTCACCTTTACTAAGAAAGCTTTATATGACTTAGTTACACTCTCACAAAGCTGCTCACCTAGAAGCACATGACCCGGAGGGTTTACATGATAGCATATAATAATACACCACATGACCCTAAGCATTTACAAGACAGCATACAATAATGCACCATAGAACTCTAAGTCTTAACTTTGCAACCTTTTGAAAAGTAAAATAAAGATAAGCTGCTTGATGGTTATAGATTGCCCACAAATGGCTCTCCGCTAACCCATTACTCAAATGGAGTGCAAAATCTGATATGGAGGGCACTTAGTTAGGGACATAGGCAACAACCTAAATTGCAATTCCCAATTAGGTAACATATTGCGCCATCATCCACATAACATAAACGATACTTAATTCCTTATCTCTACTACACCATTGTGTTGCTGAGTACTATGAATAATCAATTTTTTAAGCATCCTTTTCTCTTTACAGAGTTTTCTAAAAAACAACTCAAATAGATACTCGCCACCTCGATCAAAACTAAAAACACCAAAGCTCTTATCAACCTCACATGTGCAATGTAAAAAATCATCTCAAAACTTTTAACTTATGGGAGATCAAATAGTCTTGACTAAAATACGTATCGTAATCTATAAATGTGTCGAGATTAGGGCTAGCTATCATACCCTTATAGATATCTAGTCACAAATATCATAGTGGACTAAATGCACTAACACAGATCCCCTTCTACGGCTTTCTCACTTACTTATGCACAACCATTGCAAACAAAGTTACACATTCACATGAGAGTAAGATGCCGCAAGTGAGTAGGCCCGAAAGGGCGTACTCAAACCATCCGTGTCATCTTCTCATTAATGTGATTAAGTATAACAAGCCACCAGTTTATGACTAATGTCATAAACTAATTCCAATCAGCCTAATATGTGAGTTCTCGAAGATAAGTGTAAAGGTTTAGGCCCAACTAGGTAATGACTCATGACTAACTAATGTTCACTAGATCATAAAAGGACGTCATGGAGATATCAAGTGCGCCTAAATCACAAATTTAACTAGTAGGTGCTTATCCCCTACACCTTCAAGTCAATTTTATTCTCCATACACTTTAC